TCCAGTAAAGACCATAGGGAATTGGGTACTGGAACACCATGTTATAGTAAATTCATTCCTACTTGCAGGAACATAGGTGCATAGGTTGATTGTGCATCCACACCCCAGTGCCTGTGTGGCAAACTATAAGGCACAATTTGTCCAAGTGGTGTTTATTATCTATGTGAAACTGCCAGGGCAGTCAGGGATTTTGGAACTGGGTGTCACCTATATGTTGATAACATTCATGTCTACTTCTCCATAATATCTGAATCAGGAGAGGTTGTGCTCATCTTGAAATAATGCCTGGATGTAGCAATGAGGTGGATGAGAGCCAAAAAATTGATGCTGAATCATGACAAGATGGAGATTTTGTAGATGGATAGTTCCTACAGACAGGACATAGGGAGTTCATTTGTTCAAAATGGGGTTAGGTTGTGGGGGTGGTGTTCCTACAGTCATCACTGTTATTGGAAGCCCAAGAGACCTTTGTGGCCCATCCACAGGGTCAATCAAATTACAAATGGATGTAAGTTGGTAACTTTCTGTTTACATTACATAGTTGAAGCAATTTCACTGGTTACTGATTAGCCACCAAGCAACGTTCCAAGTTTTTGTTTATGACATCCAAGTCACTGAACAGCTTGGGATCATGTGAGCTTGTCAGATCTCCTTTGCTGTTAATAGATTTTGTCATTCATTGAGGTCCTTGGGAGCAGCCTTGCCAAGGTAATGAATCAACAATAACAAACCCTTTTTGTGGTGACAATTCCATGCAGTTCTAACAAATCTTCTGACCAATCTTACAGATTAAAGAATGAAAATATAAGTACACTGAAATTAGGTGAGATTTGAGTTGATGTGTATGTGTGTATTTATTTATTTATGATGTTTATAGGCTAACCCAGTCTGTTATGATTGGACAGTCAGTAAGTATACTATAAACTGCAAGCCTCACCAAATGTGGGAGGGAGGGAGAATTGTTTAAAAGAACAGAGGTAGAAGGAATCCATCATTTTCTCTAAGTTAAGGTTAAGGACAGAGCCAGGTCTTAAGGGTCATATGAAATACCAAGGGAAATGAAGTTGCAGAGGAGAGGCATCACAATAACGAGTTTATAGTACATCTTTATGATTTTAGTGAAACTTCTGTAGCTTAGCTAAAATGTATAACCAGTTGAATATATTTCACAATACCTAATTTATATATCTATATATCTATATATCTATATATCTATCTATCTATCTATCTATCTATCTATCTATCTATCTATCTATCTATATATTTGCAATGCCAAATAAGCACGTTTTAAAAATCTATATTAAAATATGCTTAATTTTAATCCGTGAATATGAAGTGTTTTGTTTCCTTGTTCATGTTGTAGTATGAGAAATGGTAATGTTCTCTACATTTAACATAACTCAGGGGCAAGACAAGTCTAGATAATTTCAGAGTTCAAAAGACTGTTGTTTCCACCGTCCTTTAACAGCTTCATTTGTAGTTTGTCTTAAAACAGTCTTTAAGTAAGTGTCAGAAAGTATTAATGGGATTAGTCATGTATTCAAAAGACAAAATCAAGAGGAAAAATAGACTATTTAGTGTTATTATACTGCTATAGTAATTTAATGAACGCTAATACAATGAATACACCATTTGGCATGCTAGTTTGCTGGCATGAAAATAAGTGCTTAATGGGTGAACAAATGGAATAGGGAAGTCATTATTTAAAATGTGTTGGTCATTAGTGAGCCATTTTCTGCTATTGATCGGACATTCACATGACACAGTATATCCCTTGCCTGGGCTCTCCTATATCATGACAAGCAACAATGGAGGGACCAAAATGTTTTAGTATTGTGAATTACAATGACTCCTGCTAATTACTACTATTTTACGAAAGTTCAGGACAGTGGTGGGATTCTTTTTTTTTTTTACTACCGGTTCTGAGGGCGTGGCTTGATGGGCATGGCAACGGAAGGATACTGTAAAATCTCCAGTCAGAGGTGGTATTTGCCAGTTCTCCTAACTACTCAAAATTTCTCCAGAACTGGTCACAACCTGCTGAATACCACCTCTGGTTCAGGACCTGCAATAGCCACTATGTGAAAATGTGTCATCAAACACGTTTTCACAAAATTAAACTGTTGAAAATTATGTAAATGCTCACGTGCGGTGCCATTGGTTTATCAGTAATAGTACATGGGTTGAAACAGTGCATGTCCCTGAATCATAGATATGTAATTTTCAGGAAAACTTGCCCCATATTTAACAGCTATATAATTTAATGGGTAGGGACACTAAAGGATTGGTCTTTCAGTTGAAATATTTTGAAGGGAACTTTAGGGTATATGAATGAAAGGTTTCATCAGGACAAATAGAAGTTTCAGAAGTTTCCCACTTTCAATTAATGTTTTTCTGAGGTACAACCAAGTCCGCAACCCTGAGACTGTCTCTTTTTGTTGCTTTTTCATATTTGTTATGAATATGAGGCCTAGTCATGATAGATTATCCTCTGTTCCCGTGAGAACCAATACAAATAGGAATACTATTTTTTCCCTTCAGTTCTTGTCTCTCTGCCTGTTTTTCTATGTTCAGTAAGATTTTAAAATATCCATTGATTCATAGGAGAGAATGGATTTCCAGACAGGTAAAGTCTACTGAGATAAAGAATATGAGAAAGAAACAAATAAGACTGTGTCACTAAATTAAACATTGATTGTTCATCTCTCAGTCCTGAGTCAATTACCTAGAGTTGTTGATATAACCGGAAGCTGTGTAACTACTAACATTTGTTTGTGTTTTTATAATCTCTTACTTGCCACATCATGCCATTAATTCACTTTAATGTGGAACAAAGCAAGGGCATCATTCATGAGTCCTTTGACCAATTCATGTGACGATAAAATTATGGGAAACCTCAGGAAGATCCTGCTTCCCTCCTTTCTTTTCTCCCTCCCTCCCTCCCTCCCTCCCTCCCTTCTTTCTTTCTTTCTTTCTTTCTTTCTTTCTTTCTTTCTTTCTTTCTTTCTTTCTTTCTTTCTTTCTTTCTTTCTTTCTTTCTTTCTTTCTTTCTTTCTTCTTTCTTTCTTTCTTTCTTTCTTTCTTTCTTTCTTTCTTTCTTTCTTTCTTTCTTTCTTTCCAGTAACATGAGATGTTATTGACCTTTCTAAGAAAAACCCAGTGGTTTATTTTGCCTGGAGCAAATGTCAGGTTACACACTAGCAGCATGAGAGCATTAGTCATTTTCAGAGAACCTGAGGGAACCAAATCTCCTGGCCATCATTTGGAATTGTGATGGGCTGCAGCATCTGCTTGTCTTAACTACTAGGAGACTGTTTGGGCATGAGGCACTTCAGCTCTGGAGTTAAGCAGCTCTTTCACCACAGAAACAAAGCCAGAAGCTTAGAGGAAAATATTCTTGTTTGGCTCCATCTGCTAAATATTTCTATTGGTATGAACAAGTGTAGTCTCTCAAATTGGATAGGATTAGCTTAGAATAGACATGCAAGAATATGTCACTAAATTACCAAAGGTCTGTCCACAAAAAGGGAAAATTGGATATAATTGGCATTGACAGGCAGCAGGACTCTATTTTTAATACATAATGGAAGATGCAGTTGTTATTGTTTTCTTGTTACTATTGTTGTGGCGTTCTTGCTGCTCTTTGAGCTTGATTGTTTGATTGCAGAAGTTTTATTAGCCAACTAAGTAGTGTCATCGTATTATTATTATCTATTAACAACAATATGAAGTCACAGCCACCAGTTGTTAAGCTAGTGTTGTCTTCATAAGCATCAAATTCTTCTCAAGAACCTGGGATGTCATAATGTATCAATGTAGTATATGTGTGGACCCAAGCAGTGTGGCCTTTTTTAAATTGACAGATGGAAATTTTGATAGATGGAGATTTTCTAACTACTGTCTTAAGGTTTTGGGGGATGATACTGGGTGTGCTGGGACCACCACAGCTGGTATTAGGAACAGTACAAAGTACAGTACTATCCTTGACTATGATAATATAATTTGTTTATGCTATCTCTTATTAATACTAATAATAATAAAAGCTCTTCCTGCAGTGCACATACTGTAGAAATAGAAACTGTAAAATTGAGTTTGTAAGGTGTTTACCCTTCTTAGTAATAAGAGGAGAGAATAAGTATGGGGAAAGGGCCAATATTGCCCTAAGCTTACAAAAGTTCTGAGTAGCTTTTAAAGGAGCAGGGACAGAAAGAAGAACAGCAAGGAACATACCTGTAGAAAACAGGGAAGCAAAGTAGATGGATTAATTTGAAAAATTTAGATATTAAGGTTACAGAAAATCACTAGACAAATGAGGGTTGGTAAATTAAAGGGTAAATGGACAAAGTAAATTTAAGGGTTAGGTTTAGGGTTTGAGCTTTCCATTGGTTTTTCAGGAAGCAAAAGAGATGGGAATAGATTTGAACTACATGTAATCCCAGATTTTTGAGATCATAAACTAAACATTCAGTGGCAAACCACCAAATAATAATGTGAGAATGTTCTTGTTTTTTAAAATATGAAATACAATTTTAAAATGGAAGAAATGTGGGCATAAAATTCCAGCCTCACCTGTTCCAGTGACACCATTATATGCTTCATTGTTATGATCATAAATTGCTGTGGTATCTTTTTTAATAAAAATGAAACCCTCCCTGCACACTCCAATAGTCTCTCCTGAATTGTACAGTTTTTCTGGGACTTCCACAATTAGGTAGCAGTTATATTGTTCTCTGTGAAATATATTCTTATGATGATATTTTTCATAAATTTCAGGAAATATTTTATGTACTTCTCTGAAGCTAAAAAATGTCATGTGCCAAATAAAATCTGGCCATCTCATTCCAATGTGTCACAATGGCATATGTTATAGGACAAGTCGTAAGGATAATTACTAATTTTAAGAAATAAGAGTCTATACATTTCTGCAAGCATAAAAAATTAGTTTTCATTAAAAAAAGCCTCATGACTTAATGTTTCTTTATTCATTTATTTGTCTTCAGCTACAAAGTCAGTGAGTCCGAATCCGAAAATCGCCTTAGACTGAACCAATGTATAGAAGAAGCAATGACGAGTTTCTTCTTGTTCCTCCAAGAAATGTCTCATTTTAAAGAACAGAACCCTGGCAAGGTAAAATTAGGCTTTCAATGTCTTCCATTTCATTTCACTGACTTTTTTTTTTTTTACTTTTGGCAATATTCTTATGTCAAAATCTTATTATTCCATCCTATGTGCATGCTGGATTACTAAATAATTTGTATTAGTATTAGGGAATCCCAGGTCCATAAACTAGATGGCAAAGGACTTTTGATCTGTTGCTAAAAAAAAAAAAAAAAACTGCATAGACATATCTATGAAATCACCAGGATGGAATAGCGGAAAAGATTTGCTTTTTCACATAGCTATATATAAGTAAGTCACATTTAGTTCAATAGAACCTAGTATTGTAGGCATGTAATATAAAAAATTATGAAATATTCTACAGTTGCATTAACAGTAAAAAAAGTTGTCCAATTGAATGAGTAGTTTCATTTTTATGGACATAGACAGTCTAACATTCCAAGGCATTTGTATGAAATGATAATATATTGTATGTATGCAGTCCAGTCTTTTTTTAAATCTACTAAAATGTTGCAGAGGATGCTAGAAAGACAACTTGGTCCCCAGTTATGCTCTAACATTCACACCCCAGTTTTATATATAATATTATCTTCTGCACCTTTGGATTATACAGTACTGCTTGAAATGATGAGATGTGCTAAGCTTAATCACAATCAGGCTTTGCAAATTGTTTTCCTGCAAGATCTAGAAATAGTACATCTTTATGTGAATCAAATGTCCTAGCATTTCTGTGTGATTTCTTTTGGTTATTGGGGCTCCCTTCTACGTAATAAATAGATAATGTCCTTTATATGGACATTTCTAAAGAGAGTGTGTGCCCAAAGGGGGTATACCAAGATATGGTAAAAATAGTAAGGAGTCATATAAGGACATACAACTAAGGCAGAATATCAGCAGATAGCCAGAATCTGCAAAGATGAAGTCAGGAAAGCAAAGGCTCAGAACGAACAAAGACTTGCAACAAAAGTCAAAGATAATAAAAAAGTTTCTTCCAACATATGCATAACAAGAAAAAAGTCAAGGAAACAGTCGGTCCACTAAAGAGAGAAGACAGCAAGGAAGTAACAGGCAAGCAGAACTACTTAACTCATTCTTTGCATCAGTCTTCACACAAAAAGAAACTATAGCTCAACCTACCAAAAACATAACTGTAAAAGACAGTCCAGAAATAAAAGTTAAAATAAGCAAAAAAAATAGTAAGAAAACACCTGTCTAATCTTGATGAACACAAATCATCACGGCCTGATGGATTACATCCCAGAGTTTTAAAGGAGCTGGCAGAGGTTATCTCAGAACCACTGCACCATATCTTTCAAAAATCCTGGAGCACCAGGGAACTACTAGAAGACTGGAAAAAAGCTGATGTGGTTCCCATCTTCAAAAAAGGGGGAAAAAACAGACCCAGGAAACTATAGACCAATCAGCCTAACATCAATACCCAGGAAGATACTGGAAAAGATAATAAAAAAACAGATCTGCCAACATCTAGAAACAAGTAAAGTAATAACTAGCAGTCAGCACGGGTTTGTTAAAAGCATATCATGCCAAACCAATCTTATTTCATTCTTCAACATAGTGACTAAATTAGTAGACCACCAAATACTGTGGACATAATATATTTAGATTTCAGCAAGCTAGAAAAAAGTGGAATAGATAGCACCACCACTAGATGGACTCGCAACTGGCTGACAAACCATACTCAATGAGTAGTCCTTAATGGGTCTAGCCTACATGGAGGAAGTAAGCAGTGGGGTGCCACAAGGTTCTGTCTTAGGCCCAGTACTCTTCAATATCTTCATTAATGACTTAGATGAGGGAATAGAAGGGGAACTTAACCAAATTTGCAGATGATACTAAGCTGGCAGGAATAGCTAACACCCAAGAAGATAGGCTCAAGATCCAGATGGATCTTGACAGACTAGAACACTCAGCCGTATCTAATAAAATGAAATTCAATGTAGAGAAAAGTAAAGTCCTACACTTGGGCAAGAGAAACCAAAAGTACACATATAGACTGGGTGAAACCAGGCTCAATAGCAGTAACTGTGAGAGGGATCTTGGAGTCTTAGTGGACAACCAGCTAAATATGAACCAGCAGTGTGCAGCAGCAGCCAAAAAAGCTAATGCAATCCTAAATTACATTAACAGAGGGATATAGTTGAGACCAAGTGAGGTATTAATACCACTCTATAAAGCCTTAGTAAGACCACACCTAGAGTACTGCATCCAGTTTTGGTCACCACATTATAAAAAAGATGTTGAGACTCTAGAAAAAGTACAGAGAAGAGCAACCAGGATGATTAGGGGACTGGAGACTAAAACATATGAAGAACGATTACAGGAACTGGGCATGGCTAGTCTGGTGAAGAGAAGGACCAGGGGACATATGATAGCAGTCTTCCAATATTTGAGGGGCTGCCACAGGGAGGAAGGGGTCAATCTATTTTCTAAAGCACCTGTAGGCCAGACAAGAAATAATGAATGGAAACTAAACAAGGAGAGAGTTAACCTGGAAATAAGGAGAAACTTTTCTTTTCTTTTTTTGAAAATTTTATTTGGGTTTTCACAAAAACAAAATACAAATAAAACATCTTTTTTGAAAATAGCATGGTCCCGGGTTATCACTTCTTCATACAGACACAAAACTCAATTTCATGCTCATTTTTATATTCTATTCCATATCTTATTACCATTTTATATTTTCTACGTAGTTTTTCCCCTCTTCTAATTTTCTCAACTTTGTTTTAATTATCTCAATTCAAATCATTATATTTATACTTTTGTCTGTCCTGTTACAATTTCACATTATCTTTTCTTATTAAACAAATTTTTCCCTGTAGTTACCAATTTGAGTATGACACCTTTATATCCTTTAATTTTATCCATTCAAGCTCTTATTTAAGCTTCAATGTATAGCTTTAAGATTATAGCATTCAATATAATACATAACTTCCAATCGAATTCTGCTTGGTACATTCTTAAAATAGACACTATATTCTTAAAAAGAAAAAACTATATATATATGTAAATAAAACACATTCCATTCCAATTCAATTCTATCATTAATATGCATTAAAATCTTAACATCTTTAACATTTCTTTTCAATTGAATATCATACTTCCTTGGGAACACTTATAAACTTTCCATAGTTAATTCTTTTTTCCCCCATATTTCTCACTTATATTTTTATAAATCATTACTAATAATTAAAAATGTTCCCTTTTCTCTCAATCATTTTAATTCATTTATTTATTAACAAACATCCCACTGCATTACAATAAATATTTTATCCATCATCATATTTTCTAAAGTTATTTCTATTTGTAATATAACAAAGCTATCTTATGTACCTTTGCAGAATCCCTTTTACAATTAAATTTTCACCCATTATCTCTAAACAAACTTATGGTTACAATCCTTATATCTTTTCCTTGTTTCTCCATTTCTTGTTTCTGTCTTTTACAACTTCTTTTCCTTGCCTTCTTCCCCCTCTTCTTCTCCCTCCCCTTTTTACCCCCTCATCTCTCTACTTCTAACTCTCTCATCTGTAATCCCCTCTTCTGTTGCTTTCTAATATTATACTTATCTTTCAAATTGTTCTTCTTCTTTTTGGTTGTTTTTTCTAATCTTAAACCTTTCACTCTCTTTCCCCCCTTTTCTTTTTTCCCCCACTTAAAATTATTTGATCATTAAAGATGGCTTCTTCTTTGTCCCAATCTTTTTGTTCTGCAAGCGTTTCTTGTTGCTTCTCATAGTTCCAGATCTCCATTTCTAAGAATTGAAACACGAAGCCAAAAGAACTTCTCCCTTCTTGTGCGTCTTCTTTCCATTTTTTAAGTTCCGTTTTCAGTTCTTCTAAGAGTGATACCATTTTAAAAACTTTTAAACAACCCCCCAGTTAATTTTAGTCATCTAGATGCAAAAACCAAAAATCACCAAGTAATCCAAATAATCCAAGGCTGTTTCTACTTGCTTCCTTTTTCCACTTTCTCTTCCTGGGGTTCTATTATTTTGTTACCAAGTTTCCATTAAAATGTATCTTTGAGGAATCTTGTTAAAATTTCACTGTAAGTTCCTTTTAATTACAGTTCCATTCCTTAATTCCAGGCAGTCTCCTCCATTTTTCCAGATCCTGCCCTTCTATTCTTTTTTTTCTCCTTTCCAGCTTTTAAAAACTTTTAAATGTCCAGAAATCTTTATTTATCCCTTTGACTTTTATTTTCAGCTTAGATGCCTATTAATGTCAAAGTGGATTTTTTTTTCAGTTTCTTGCTTAAGTCTCTTAGCTGTCAGTATAAGGAAGGGAAGAAAAAAAACTAATCCTTTCCCTTCTCTCTCTCCTTCGCAGCTTCAAAATCTTCTTTGGGAACAATGTTGTTAAGTTTAAATTCCAGGGTACCTTATTTGTTGCTTTTGCTGTTTGACCCGGTCAACCAAAACTTTCTCTTCTTATCTTCCTCCTGCACATTCTTTTCCGGTCGAGTTCTTCTTTGTGGTGGCCATTTCTGACCACCGCTACAACCGCCTTTGGGAAAGGGAGTAATGGCCAGCTGGGGAGGAGAGATGCGGCTCTCCTCAACCCTGCAGGCAGTCTCCCCCCTCTTCACCACCTCTATGGGGTGGCTTAGCCCCAAAACAGCTGGCTTGGGGCGCTCCAGCGGCGAGCATGGATCGAAGCCTCGGAGAGATGAGGTTTCGGTCTGTTGCTGAAGAAGCTCAAACCGGAAGTCCGAAATAAGGAGAAACTTTCTGACAGTGAGAACAATCAACCAATGGAACAGCTTGCCTTCGGAAATTGTGGGAGCACCATCGCTTGAGACCTTCAATAAGAGATTGGACTGCCATTTGTCAGAAATGGTGTAGGGTCTCCCGCTTGGGCTGGGGGTTGGAGTAGATGACCTATAAGGTCCCTTCCAATTCTGATTATCTGTTATCTGTTATTATATCCTGGACTATATGGAGAAATAATTTGGAAAGACATTCCAGAGTTGTTGTTTAGAGCATTGAAATAAATGCATTTGCTGCAAGTTCAGTGTAAATCTATAATTCCTACATTTCCCCACCCCCACCAAATTAACCTAATTGAATTGTACATGCATAAATATCTCATAATACTAAAGGATATCTGAAAAATCAGAGGTCTCGTGGTCAGATGCCAGCATAGACTCACAATTCATACCTTCATAACCAATTTAAGAGCCATTGATTTGATAATTATTAGGAATCTTTTTTTATTCCTATTCCTATTTTTGGGAAAGAAAGGAAAAGAAAAGGACAAAACAAAATTCCTTTGTTTTTGCCTATGCTTTTCACACCTACAATATCTAATACAGCTTATGCTCCCTGTCTGTTCTCCCTAAAACATTTCCAACTGTTTTAGGGAAGAAGAAATTCTGATGGAACATTCTATAGTCTCAGTACACATTAAAAGATGTATATGTTATAGGTACTGAATGTTACTGACTGATCTGATTGATGCTTGTTCTTTTTAAAAAACAGTTTTGCCTTCTGGTCTGCAGCATATGCACATTCTTCACAGTCTTGGGAAGTTACATTCCTGGAATTGTACTCTCCTATCTTCTGTGTAAGTTCTTTCAAATGCTTAAGGAATTGGATCTAGAATTTCTTTGGTGGCATCATAGATGCCCACTGCAGTATGTAACCATGTTCACACAGTGTTCATAAGTGCAACAAGATGTGTGTGAAGAAGCAAATAAAAAATCCATTTTCCACATTGTATTGTGACCGAAGTCCTAAGAAATACAATACCTGTTGAAAGTACCTATTTGTATAATATTATACAAATGTATAATATGAAAATATTTGAATATTTGAGCTATGGTGGCACAGTTAGAATGCAGTATTGCAGGCTAATTCAGCTCACTGCCAGGAGTTTGATCCTGACCAGCTCAAGGTTGACTCAGCCTTCCATCCTTCCAAGGTCCGTAAAATGAGGACCTAGATTGTTGGGAATAAATGCTGATTCTGTAAACCGCTTAGAGAGTGCTATAAAGCACTATGAAGCTGAAAAGAAGTCTAAGTACTATTGCTATTGCTCATATATTTCAGAGTAACAATTTGAAAGTTGTTTATAAAATAAATAAAAACAATTAATTAAAAGGTTACTGACAAAGTACTTTTATTTCCTTAGAGATTATGTTGATGCACTTCTAATGAGCACATGTTCCACTAAACAGTAGTCCTAATTTCAATCAGAAATGCATACAATTCCATTGTTAGTATTCAGATGACTGCATCTAATAAACATACTAGTCATTTGTGCAACAATTATATCAATTTATTTATTTCCATGTCATAACATTATTATTCCAGTTTTGCAGATTAAGAGTAATAAGCAAAGCCTTATAAAGGTCATTTAGAATTTATAGTGATCTGGCCTCTACACTAACTGTTTAGCGGGAATACAACCAAGTTTTCCCTTGAAAATCTGCAAATCGTTTTATGTAACTTAAACTGATACATAGTTATTTGTAATATCTGTTTCAAAGTCTTATGGGTCAAAAATATAACATTCTGCATGGTTTTATATTTATTCTTTCTTTGACAGTATTATGTGCCTTTTTATGTCCATTCTTCAAATGCAATGAATTTGGACAAAAGATATATAGCCACATGAAGTCATATCTGCTGAAACTGAACTTTGGAATACAAGACTTCATCAACCAAAAGTTAAAAGAGAGAGCAGGTAAGCAGCTGGCAATTTCAGCTTCCTTGATGAATATTTTTTAAAAATTGCACTTGATCCACTGAAATATCCAAGTACAAAAATATTCTTACCATCTTTATGAAAGATAAAAATAAAGCTTCAAAACCTAATTATTTTATTTCCTGTACCAATTAGTGATAGTTCCATGTATGTCTTTTCAATGACTGTATCCTGACAAGGGTAAAATGCCATATAAATAAGTAGACAGGTATAAAGATTATACAGCTGATCAGCTGATTTTAAAGGTGCATTGTGGCCAAAGGGCACAACTGAGTTGTAATGCATGCCTTTTTATTAATATGGCAAATAAATCAAAATAGAAATATTTGTCTGGCATAATAAGCAGAAATCCTTAACTGATAAGACTCTTGTTTTCCAGAAATGATCAAAACAAAACCAAATGAGGATGACAGTGAATTAGACTTATCAGCTTTATGTCCTAAGGTTGGTTGATTCTAATAGCATGTGTTTTTTTAAAAATGTTTTTGGATGACAGTGAAGCACATGAACTTTTATTTGCTTTCACAGAACATATTTCTGCTCCCTCCCTTTATAAAAATGAGGTGGAATAATCTAAACTTTGCCTGCTGAACTGTGCACTGAATGTGATTCCTTTCCAGATAAATATGCACAGCATTGCAGAATAAAAGAAATAGAGTTACATTTTTGTCTAAATCTCTTGATCTAAGAAGCTTGTATTTTAAAAAAAGTAGACCTAAATATATCAACGTTTAAATATTTGTTGGAATATCTCCATCACCTAAATAAAGAAACAACTATTCTCAGTCTATAATGACAGGATCATGCTTATGGTATTGAAAATGATGTGTACGAAGCAATATTTAATCTGCAGTATGTTTGATAGTTTGGTTTTCCAATCTACAGGTTAGTTCAGCCACTGCAGCCAAGGAGATGTCTGTATCAGACACTGATATCTCAGAGATATCTTGGACCGACAATGGAACTTTTAATTTATCTGAGGGAAACACTCCACAGACAGACACATCTGATGGTATGTTCTGTTATTTGAATTCTTCCAGATTTTACTGTTAATTGCAGATTACTTTTAGCTATCTAAATTCTTTTAAAAGTAAAGGAAATCTACCATGATTCTCTAATACATGCTTAACATTACTTGTAATCTAGATTTAACTTCTAAATTTGAAAAAGGTTTTCATGAAAACTCATTTAGGCTAAACAATAATAGAAATACACACACACACAAACCTATGAGAATGTAGACTCACACAAAGACTGGCAACTCTGAAAAGTATATTGTATAACCAGCCATCTCAAACCAGTGACTCTGGGTGGCGAACAATCATAAAAACTGTTAAACAGAATAGAAACAAGAAATTAAATACCAGTACCAACCGACAAATATTATAATCCATCAATGTCAGCCTAACCAGGAAATGGAGCTCTTCACTCACCTGGAAACCAAGGCCCAGGTACATAGCCTGCGACGTTTTCCCAAAGGCCAAAAGTTTCAAGGCATCCTAATCTCAGGAAGGAGAGTATTCTAGAGGGCATCTTTCCTTAACCCCGCCAGCCAGCGTCCCTTTGGCTGACGGGCCAAGCATGCCCATCCTGCAAGATGGGATTAGATGGGTAGAAATAGCCTCCGCTAATTCAGCTCCATGCCATGAGGGACTTTAAAGGTGACAATCGGCACCTTGAATTGTACCCAGAAACACACTGGCAACCAATGCAGCCCATAGAGCAATATGTTATGTGTGCTTAATAGCCAGCGCCATTTATAACCCACGCAACTAACTGAAGCTTTTGAATGCTTTTCAAGGACAGCCCCTTGTAGAGTGTGTTACAATAATTTAAATGAGAATGCTGGTTATAATTTATATACGGTATATATAACTAATGGCCATTGGCTTTTCCAGACAAACTGTAAAATGGAGTTGATTTTTTGTTGGTTTGCAATTTATATATATGAAACTAATGGCCATGGGCTTTTCCAAACTTACCTGTAAAATGGAATTTATTTATTTATATTTACTCTTGAGATCTGCCAGTCTTTATTCTTGTTTCTCTTTCTCTCCTTCTCTTCAAACATTTATAGTAATACAGCCTGTATTTGGACAGATAAATGTCCTATCCAGTTATGTGACAATTTAATTCACTTTGGATCAAGCCTTTTCTTTTGCGGGTGTGTGTGTGTGTGTGTTAAGCCTTACATTTTGATTTCTGAAAATGACTGAAACTAAATGTGGGTTTTTTTCCCTTTCTTGTACAAAGAAATGTATACAAGCCTCATACCTCAGAAAGAAAGGTATGTTAAGGCTGCAATTGTGATGATTTGTTTATAACAACATGTTTTGTTCACCCTTCAGTAGATTTTGATCGGCCAAGTGACCATGAGGAAGCTTTTGCAAAGGATCTTGAAGAATTTCCCTCTGTAGAAAATGGTGCTGGAACAAATGATGATGATGATTCAAGCATTGGCTTGCCAGTGCGGCATAAAAGAAAAAAAGCTCATCCCCCAACCCCATTGGACCAGTATTACAAGCAGGATAAGGAGGGGCACTCTGCAGCAGGCCTTTCCTTGTCTTTGATCAATGACCAGGCCTTCAGCTTGGTGACAGCAATTGCTGGCGATGTTGTTACATCAGTGGTATCAGCAGCTGTCAGAGAACAGTTGCAATCTGTGCAGGAAGTCCCAAGTATAAGTGAAGAGGCAGATGCAGAAGAAGGAGATGATTTTGAACTGCTTGACCAGTCAGAGCTTGAACACATGGAAAGTGAACTGGTGCCTACCAAAAGCCCAAAGGCAGAGCCACAGGAAAAGAAGTCTTCGGGCTTCCTCTCAAATCTGCTTGGTGGGCATTAATGTGGAAAGAGAAGCTGCTTAATAGTATATTGACATAAATACAGACAATGTGAAATGCAAGGAGAGAAAATATGAGCTGTAAGCTTTAACTATTATTCTAGATGTGCTGTAACATTCTTCACGCAGAGTGAACTAACGTGTTTTAGATCAATTGATGCTGGTAGCTTTGTTTCTGATAGTGATGCCACAGAAATGAAATCATGTTATTTTCATTCACAGCAATTTAAGAGGCTTCTTATACAAATGTAGCTCAGTTTTGGCTGTTGCCAAATCTTTGTCACTTTCAGCCTGTTTTTTGTTTTTTTCCCCAAGCATTTTGGCAGCAATATTTCAGGGAGAGAAAATATCTGCAAAATTCAAAAAGCTATTATATCCTACAAATGCCTCCTATGTAGCAGAATACTCAAACCTTAAAAAGACTGAACACTTTTGCTGCTATCATCTCCAACGTACATCTCTAAGTCACACATTCTCTAATTGGATAGTAATTTTTTGTATTACCTGTCTGAATCTCAGTTATTCATATGGGTTAGCTAGAGAAGGCAGTGTCTTTTCAAACTTATTCAAGTTTCTTATTAAGAATTCAAACATATTCTTAAAAGGCCTTGAAGTTAGGCAAAATATCTATATCCCAGGTACCATAACTCACTTTGTACAACTACCTGTAGCACATGTATCTGCTGTGTGGAATTGAATTTAGGTTGAGTAGGAACTGATTAGGAAAAAATTCAAAAACTGAAATTAAGTTGGCATTTTTTAAATTTTCAGTTCCATTAATTTAAAATGGTTTAATCTTATAATTAAAATATAAAATCATACAGATCTGATTTATTTATATCTGAAAGACTACCATTATAGAAGAAATAAAATATTCCTGGTATATAAATATTAAATGCTGTTAATTTCAGCACATTGAACATCCCGTGGTTCACTCTGAGAAGAAATTTAGTAAATCTTCTATTAAGCATTATGGTTTACCTTTAAAATTGAGGGTCACAGGAGTGCCTTATCAAGGTGAACCAATTTTTAAAAAGAAATCGCTTTAACATGCTTTGACTGGCATGTTAAAAGAAGCCAGCAGATTGAGGGACCATATTAACTGCTCTAATTTATCTCCAACTTGTAGAGATTTTTACTGGCATTCTAATTAGTATATATAGTAATGGTGTGACTCTACGAACTAAACGTGCAGTTTAAAGAGAAATTTATTTTCTTCCCGCTATGTTTATTAGGTAACTTGCAAAGTAAATGTGGATTTGCAACATGCAGATCTGAGAAAGATGTTATGTTAGTTCAGTTCCAAGTCTTCTCTCTCATCCTACCTTCTGTAAACATCCACATGCTCAAGGCTGCACTAAATCCACATGCTCAAGGCTGCACTAAATCCAGTGCCAGTACTAACTCTTAATTGTTCACTTGATTCCTACACATCTTTACCAAATGTTACTGTGCTTCAGATGTGGAAGTGTAGGGAATTACTGGGTTGCGATCCCTCAGTGAAACCAGAACATAGGGATCTGGAAGGTATTACAGGTAGTCCTTGCTAAACGACTACCCTGTTTAGTGACCATTTGCACTTAAATAGCAATTTTATGACCAGTCTTTGCATTTATGACTATCGTAGCACTCCATGGTCATATGATCAAGATATAGGCACTTTGCGGTATCTAGACATTTACGACCAAATATTCCATGGTCATATGATCACCATTTCTGCTTCCAATAAGTCAATGGAATAAAATTGCAAATTACTGTCACATAATACCTCGCTTAATGAATGTGGGCAATTCACATAACAACAATAGCAAAAATGGACAAGTGATTTAATGACCATATCACTTAGTGATGGAGTTGCCAGTCTTAATTCTGGTTGTTAAGTAGGAACTTACTGTATAGGTAGTCCTTGACCTTTGGCCACAATTGAGCCCAAAATTTCCATTGCTAAGCAAGGCAGCTGTTAAGTGAGTTGTGCCCCATTTTCAACCTTTTTCGCCACAGTTGTCCAGCGAATCTCTCCTGTTGCTAAGTGAATTGTGTGGTTGTTAAGCTAATCTGGCTTCCCCCTTTGACTTTGCTAGTCAGAAACCACTGGGATTGGGAAGGTTTTACGAATGGTGATCACATGACCTTGGGACAGTGCAACTTTAATAAGTACATGCCAGGTGCCAAGTGCTCAAAATTTTGATCACATGACCACATGAAAACCCGTCGTGAGTCACTTTTTTCAGTGCCATTGTAACTTCAAATGGTTATTAAATGAATGGTTGTAAGTCAAGGACTTGTAACTTCTTGTATAACACATACGAGAAAGTGGTTTTCGACTCAACAAAAGATGGGTATCATCACATAACCGTTGCTCCAAAATAAATAAGGTACGGCATAGCTTCAGAAAGTGTGCAAGACAAAGCAATCCCCTCAAGGTACCACATCCCCCCGACATGGCAGTACATTTGGCTTTTCTATGTCATCTCTGTGTGCATCTATAGCTACTTTGTTTTACTGACAATCTCAATCTCATGTACATGGACATTCAGGCAACCTTGGAAAACCTTCAGTGCAGTTGTGTGAAGCCTTTTGTGTATAGTTGCCTCAAAAATTTTGGGGATGTTCAAATCTTACGTGTTTTGCAAATTCTTTGCAAAGTCCTTAAAGTAAATCCCCTGAAGACTTTTTAAGGAGAGCACCTGGTTTCAGCAAAATCAGTGTTCTGATAGCTTGGTTCAGTATCGAATTCTGACAGTTCTCGCCAATGAAATGTATTAGCTGTTTGCATAATTCTAGCTTTGATACTTGTAGGCAGTTTCACCATTTGACATACAAATTAGAAGGCTCTGTCATTGTGTAGAATGCAAGCTCATTAAATTGGGTTTTCTTTTTGTAATAAAGTTAATGGATCTTACCATTAAATGGATAAGGCCAGAATCCAAAACACATAGGAATAAGTGGAATTTACTTCCAAGGAAACAGGCTGCAGATTGTAAGTCTAAAGAGCAGGCACATGGCCGTTGTAATTTAAACTACTAAGAGAATCTTCTCAGTTCTACCCATTATGTTGTGAACTGTAACTGTGTGCACTTTATCATTTTCTTTAAATAAATATTTCAGGGATTTTCAAGTGTTAGATACAGAGGTACTATTGAAGTTCCATCATTGAAAACAACTAAAGGGGCTACTTAAGACTTCTTGTAAGCAATTCTTTCTGGTTTTCAGGTAAACAGGTATAATCCCCATATTTTGAAATACCTGTCTGGGCAACCCAAAACATTTATATAATTTCACTCATTTCTTTATTGTTCAGAAGTTTATATTGCAAAAATTATAATGAATTGGTACTTTTATGTCTTTCTTTGTGTTTATTTTTAAACATACAGGCTAAAACTCTATTTGTGACACGCCAAAGATCTGAGTATGCCGATTTTTCCCCTTAGTTTGTTATTGTTGTCATTGCAAAATAAAATATTCTACCTACAAAGTCCCAAAATCAATTTAATAAATATAAATGCTCTACAGTTAAAAAGTGGCTTCCCTTTTGACATATTTGACAAATATGAGCCTTTCATCAACCAGTATGATTTGTGTGGCTTTTTAAAATTCTGGCTCTGCTTATAGTCAGCAAACCCACTGATTTACAGTGGGTTTGCTGACTATAAGCAGAGCCAGAATTTACAATTCTGATTTACAATTTAGTAATCTTTCCATCATGCCCATATATACTAGCTTATTGAAGAGAGGACTCAAAAATTGTTTCAGGCTGCACCCAACAGTTCAATATTAAATCCTCAAGTTTTTCATATCTGTCATTGCAGGGGTAAATAATCACATACCATCACATTAGCTTTACTCTTGGGGACTAATGGAAACAACGCCATATAGCCAATTCAAGAAAGCTTAATGGACAACACTTTAGAAAATGTAGAGTGATTATAGCTTCTAAATAATTTAAAAGGTTAAAGATGCTAACTCCATAAATATGGCAGATTTTAAGCAAATGGTATTACAGTATAGAACTATATTAGTATGCAAGCGTTGGGTAATATTTCTCTTTACCTTTAAAAACAAGATACTTCTGGGACAAGGAGTTTGCATCACCCTTCCACACACTTTTTAAAAATTCTTACTTGCAATGTGCTTGACTTGGTAGGAAGAGTATTCTGAATATGCATCTACGTATGAGCAGTGCATCATGATAAAGACATTTGAACATAATCTTCAGTGTAGCTTCTTCCAAAGCCTGAAGCTTGTTTAATTCTTTCTGAAGTATATCCAACTATATTCAAATTGAAATTAAGAATGGTATCTTAGACTTCATAGCAAAACAACAAATGGTAAATTGCAAAGCATATTTTTGTGGAAATAATCTTCAAGTGAAATATTCTAATAAAATAAAATCTGTAAAAACATGAAATAACTATCTCAGATATGGCAGTGACTGACAAGAAAATGAATCTTAGCATCATAGTGTGCTTAAAATGTTTCATGAAAATGTTAACATAAAGTTGCTGAGAAGGATAGATAATGCCATGTTTTGAATCATTAGAAGAGAACTGCAGAATTAATGCTTTTATATAGATCTCTAGTGGGAGCACACTGAGTATTACCAGTATGTACACATCTTTAAGAAGGATATGATGCAACTAGAAAAGATATGAAGATAGCCTATTAACATTTTTAGGGATCAGCAGCAGGTCACTTATGAGAGAAAACTGCAACAGTTGGGGTTTTGGAGACATTCTTAGGATGAAGGAGGACACATGGCAGAAACCTACAAAAACCATAAATAATGTGGAGATAAAAGTTTCTCAATCTCTCACAGGATTAGAACTTGAGATCATCCACTAATACTGAACACCTGTTCATTTAGGTCTAACAAAAGGAATGCTTTTCAAAGAGCACACAATTAACTGTAATTTGCAGTCTGCAGACATGGTGACTATAGTCAATGTGATGGTTCTAAAAGTTACTGAACAGGGTCATGGAATATTACAGTAACAGTGATTATTAATATTAATACTTGAAACATAGGCTGCAACTTTCAATACTAATTGCTGAGAAATGGTAGCAGAAGGGACAATTGCCCTCCATTGAGACTTGTCAGTTTCCTAAATTCCAATTGGCCAAAATGTGACACAAAATGCTGGACAATATGATTTTAGCTTCTGGAGGAGGAGGAGAAATAAAGGGCAGTGAAATACAACACTTGCACTATGATATCAACATACATGTCACCAATTTGGCTGGTTATTGACATTAAGAGCAGGAATCTTCTATGGTTAAAAGGCCAGTAAGAATATTTATGGAAATGCAGCTGACCATGATGTGCAGTGCCAGTTTTGAATACTTGATAGATGAGGGTTGTATATAGCCAGATTTTCTTTCAACTTAACACTCCACATCATTTTCTTTTTTTCTTTTCCTTTTTAAAAGAAGACAAAAGCTAACACAAATTAATG